TTTCCTCAAAAGAATTTAGGTATATAAAAAAAAATTCCACTCTATTATTTTTTAGCATAATTTTTCGAAATCTAATATACATTCTTTAAATAATCAATGAACGCTCAACTTTTCGTGCAGTATAGTTACGAATGTGATAACTTGTAAGAGTTATCGAACTAAGCAATCTATTTTTTTAATAGTTAAGTTTTTTTTAAGTTTTTTTTTTTTAAGTTTTTAGTTAAGTTTTTTTAAGTTAAGTTTTAATAGTTTTTTTAATAGTTTAATAATTAAGCAATAGTTAAGCAACGTTAAGAGTTAAGCAATCTACTTTCTAGCTTGCCTGCAAAATTTCTGCAAAATTCAATATTTTATATAAATCTCAAAAAGTAGTCATAAATATAAAGTTAACAAAAAGAAAAATAAATTTATAGTTAATCTTAATCACTTTATCATTTCTTAAATAAACTCAAAAGTATGATAGAAAGAAATTTTTATCTCATCCATAATTATTCTCATTGATGTTATCATTGAATTTGAGTGGAATCCCTTTTTCTTACTTTCGCTAAAAGTAATAAACAAATAAATTAGATTTGAGAGAAATAGTTGACTGAGAACTGATACTGAGAATTTTAAAGCTTTGAATATGAATGAAATTGAATCTAATAACATCTAATAATCTTTTTCAATTTATCAGTTTTATATAGAATTAAGGTTGCTCCAAAGTGAATTTATTAAGCTTTCTTTTTTGCATAAATTATCAAAAATCCATGACAGTGTGTAAGCATCAAGTACAATGCAGATAAAATAATTAACAAAGTTCAAAATATGTTCATTTTTAGATGAATTATATTTTTATAACATTGTTGGCACTTAATTAAAATATAATTTAACAGAATTAAAGATTTTTTCAGTATTAAATTTACAAAACCCCTAGTAATTATCAGAATTTCATAATGTTGAATTAAAGACCAAAGTTCAAATAGTTTTTAATCAGTCCATTATTTGTCATATTTTTACTTTCTTCTCGTGTCTAACTGGTAGTTTGTGAATGCTCTTTTAAATCCCGAAGGAAGCTTTACAATAACGTATACGTAAATCTGTTTGCTTTGGGTACTGCTCCATCATTTCAGTAATATGTATTAAATTGAGTGACATTGTCAGGAATGAGATTCCGAGCATTTTTCGCTTCTCAGGAATTTAATTTGGTGCATTTATACACACCTACCGATAGTATCACTGATGGAACTTCACCGGATGGACGCATCACTGAAATCTAATATTGACATGCATCCGTTGCTATTCCTGCTGTTATCAGAAAGAATTTCAACACGAGCTGAAATAGTGTTTGATGTTTGAAAAAATGGGACATTTTTTAAAAGTTGGTTGACAGAATGAATAATATTTGCATAAATGAAAACTGAAACAGTTTGAATTGAATGTCGCTGGACGATGAAATCTTTAATCCATAAAGTGTTGAATAATCCTTTCTGCTTTACTTGATTAAATATTAGTATTGAATTATTTACACCTTGTAAAAGTTTTAGGTTTTAAATTTTGGTGGCGTAAATTAAATGACAATTGGAAACATATTGACTTATTTCCGATATTTATTCTTACGTAATTCTTCCTCAACAAGTCTGTCTCAACATATTCATAATACTAAAAATAATACTAAAAATTATCACTAAAAAATAATACTAAAAATTTTTTCCTTGTTTAATATACGAAAACTCTTATAAATCGTTAGATTTTCATTAATATCAAACCTAAATTTGACATAAAAATAAATTTCAGTTACAGAAATGAATCATTAAAAAAAAATAAATATTTAGAACTCAATTGATTATTTTATATGCGTTACGCAGGAATTTATCATATGTGTTGTGGTCATTTCACATCTTAAATAATAAAAAAAACTTTAGTAATTAACTTTTGAATAGTAATTCAGTAGCGAAATTAATAAAATTTCTAATTTTTCATAGTTTTAAATCATTTTTAAAATAAAAATTAATTTTTATTTCAAATTCAAGTATTGATTTTATGAAATTCCTACAATTTTTAAGAGTTTTTGTATATTAAACTAGGACATAAATTCTAGTATTATCAAATTTTGCTTTAATTAATTGTTAAAACAATTGAAAAATAGCATTTCATTTTTTAAAAAAAGATTTTTAAATTAATTGATTATTTAGTAATCAAGGGAAATAGTCATATACGGTGTTGTCATTTGACAACTTCAATAATAAAATAAAGCTTATGTTTAGGCTTAGGCTTAGGTTTGCGCTTAGGCTCAGGCTATATTTCAGATTTGAATACTAATTTTTATGAAAAATAATTTAAATAATAGAAATATTTTAGTAATTAAGTTTTAAACAATATTTCAGCAGCGAAATTAATGAAACGTCAATTCAGATATAATTTCATTAATTTCGCTACTGAGTTACTGTTCAAAACTTAATTACTAAAATATTTCTATTATTTAAATTATCAAGTGACCATGCGGTTTATTCATTCCTAAAAATTCCAGGATTTTTATAAAAATTAATATTCAAATCTAATATAGCCTAAGCCTAAGCCTAAGCCTAAGCCTAAACCTAAGCTTAAGCCTAAGCCTTATTTTATTATTGAAGTTGTCAAATAACAACACCGTATATGACTACTTCCCCTGATTATTACAAATAATCAATTAATTTAAAAATATCTTTTTTTTAAAAGATATTTTTAAAAGGTTTTTTTTTAAATGAATTGCTATTTTTTATTTGTCTTCAAAAAGCAAATTAAAATTTTAATTGAAGCGGAATATTGCTTAATCTAAGCCACAACTTGAATTCTAATTAGAAATGAATTACTCATCAGATAAGATTATTTTGAAAGTACAAATCAAAAAGACTGATTAACAAATGAAGCGATTCTGAAACTGTAAATGATGATAATGCTGTAAAAATATGATAAATTTATGATAAATATGATAACTTTGAAATGTTGATATAAGCAATACTTAAAATCAATACTCATTCTCCGGCTTATTTACAATAAATACAATAAAAGATTTATTAGCAAAGTTATCAGATCTTCTATACAAACCAGTTATCACTACAAGTAAACATCTTATAAGCAAATATAATATTTAAATAAACTTTAAATATTAATTCAAAAGGATTTCTTTCAATCTTAATTGCAATAATGCTCAAAAGGCTTAATGACGATAAAAAGGAAAAACTTAAAGTTAAGGAACAATGTATAAAAGTATTTGTAATAATTCCTAGAATTGAGAGATTTCTCTCAGTAACGGGAAAAACCAGAAATTGTTTCCAATAATAATTTGTTTTCATAATTAAAACAGAATATATTTGATATGTAAAAGCAACTATCTAATTTATTATTTACTTACGAAACATTTATGAGCAACGATCATAAATGACGTGAGCGTAAGACAACAGTAAATGGTTTAATTACTATGCGTCATACAAGCGTGATTCAAGCGTAAAAGACGTAAAATAAAAAGCTTGAATTATATCAGATACTATCTATTGATAAGAATTATTTTTTGATGCGATAATCAGTGATTTCTTATATTTCAACTCTTTTATTACATTTGCAGAATTGTGTCGAATTTTAAATTACTAAATCAAATCATACTTTTCATTGTATTTTCTTTAAAAATGCAATGAAAACATCAGTTAATAATTTTTGATCTAATATGGAATTATTTATTGATACAACAATCAGTTTCACACAGACTACATTTTAGCAAATTTTGAGGTTTAATAAAAATATACAAAATATTTCAAGCTTTCAAAGAAAGAAAAAAAAAAATGTGCTTAAATATTCAGACTACAAAATAATTATTTTTAATTTGTAACAAAAAGAATTATCTACAAAATTTGCAACGTTAAAGTAGGAAATATTCGACTATAATATCATTAAATAAAACATTCCTAATTTCAAAATTTATCCAAACATTAATCATTTCTTGTTGAATGCAACAAACTTTTATTCAATTAATAAGTATCCAAAAATATAAAATAACAACAAAAAAATGCAATTTTTAATTCATTTCAAAAAGTTTATTAGAAAATTGCAAATATTAAAAATTTTTTGTCGTTTTATTAATTTCTCATTTGTTATACATTCAATTTCCAACAAACGTATTTGTATTATTTGATGAAAAGAATTATAGGATTGAAATCTAATTAAAGAATTATAGTGAAATACCATCTCTCCCTCTCCTCTCTCTCTCTCTCTCTCTCTCTCGCTTCTGCATAACTATTTGATATATTATTGTCAATAATTAATTTGATATTTTGGATGAACTTTTATTTACATCAGTCTTTCAGTCTTCTTAATTTTAATTTTATTCCTTATTCTCACATTATTTATTATTATTATTATTATTATTATATTATAATCTTTAGTTACATATTATTATATGATTCATTATATATTAATAGATTAGTTGATCTGAAATATAATAGATTAGTTGATCTGAAATATAATAGATTAGTTGATCTGAAATATAATAGATTAGTTGATCTGAAATATAATAGATTAGTTGATCTGAAATATAATAGATTAGTTGATCTGAAATATCTGACCATTTGAATGATTGAATAAATCAAAAACAAATAATTGACAACATGAGCCATTATTGTTTTTTTTTTCTGCAGAAAAGGAATTAAATAATGAAATTATTTCAACAAATGAATTTTTCTGAATTAATGACAATTTAATTAAATAGTCCAAGTCAAAATATTTTGCTATAAAATATTGATTGAAAATTAGTTTTTCTTTTTTCTTTCATTTTTTTTCCATCCTTTAATGAATTTCTTCTTTCTACTGAAAAAGAAAAAAAAAATAATAATGAATGAACGACGAACGACGATGACCCAAATAAAGGAACGATAATTTAAAAGAGACGAAGTTATGGGCAGTAGAACAGTAGAAGGAGAAGGTTGGATGAGATAGCTGGTCGAACTAATTAATTTAACGAATGAAATAAATGCATTGATAGTGAAGGGATGATAGTGATAAGTCTCATTGCATTTTCGCAGCTGATATTGTTAGCAGTGATAGCAAACGATGGTATGTTATGCTTTTGTTTATTGTATTTAAATTATTAAATTCAAACTTAATTAAATTCTGTAATTAATTAATTATCCTGGAATAGTTGCCTTCTTTTCCTTTTTTTTGTTTTGTTTTTAGATTTCGTAATTAAAAAATGATAAAGATTTTTGTACCATTGTTATCAAATTATCAACACTATTAGATATACTATCAGATAAGTAATAATTTATAATAAAAATAATTTAAATATAATAGAAATTAACAGGTTTATCATTTTAACAGGTTCTTATTATAAATTTAATTTCATTAATTGCATTTCATACGTATCATCAATTTCATTTTATTTATAAGCATTCATTCCAATTATTCAAATGTTGCTAAATTTTTTTATTTAAATTTTAAATTGATCTCTCCTAACATTTATATTTTTCCATTCTTTCTATTTCTCTAAATTCTAAATCAGGAAATTCCGAATTTTATAGAAATGAATATATTTGATGAGACATATGCAAGCATTACGGTACCGAAGAATTACCGGAAAAATCATGCACTTCCGTTTGCCTCACCTTCCATTATTGCTGTTAGTTTTTTCTTTCCCTTTTTCTCCTATTTTTTTTTCTTTTTTTTGGTTCACAATCATTTTGAATAATTTTAATAAATTTCAAAATTTTAAACTTTCTGTCCATCCTGAACTTAATCTTAAAATTAAAGCGAAAACTTTATAAGTATTATTCAAACATATACTATATTTAGTTCAAGCCCAACAACATAATAGAAATAAAAAGTTTAGACTTGATGGAAACTTAGTAGAAAGTTTAGGCCTAACAGGAACTTAGTAGGAAGTTTAGGCCCAATAAGAACTTAGTGGGAAGTTTAGGCCTAATAGAGAAAGTATATTTAATCTTGCCGTTGTAATATAGTAAATCTTTAATAGCCTTAGTGACTAACATCTAATCTACCAGTGGATTACACTATTTATAAATAAAATAAACCATTGCCTTTTGAACTTTAAATCTCAAACTTTTTTCATAGATTGTTAAAAGCTTCATATTGCTTCGATATCATTGAATTGCTTCATCAGTTCTGTTTCATAATATGGCGCTAAAGTTTAGCTAAAGCAATGATTTATCATAAAATTGTTTTTCACTTTATTAAATTGTAAAATTTAAATTGAAAAAAAAATTTTGTTTAATTAAAAAAAAATTTTAACTTTTCTTTAACTATTTTCTACTGCTAAACTAACGCTAACAAGATGTTTAAATTTTATATGAAGTAATTATAAAATTTTTTCGGGAATAATTTCTACAGGATGCTGAAGAAAGTTTTCGTTTATCATTGCAACAAACTGAATATTCGAACGCTTTCACTATTATTCCAAAAATTATTATCTCCGGTCAGCAATTTGATATTATTCTTGATGATGCACACATCCTTAATGTTGCTGATAAAATAACACTTCAGGTATATACAAATAACTTATGCTAATTATTTCTATTTATTCAATCTATTTCAAAATATATGGTAAAATTGAAATCTTGATTTAAAAAGAAAACTGGTAAAATTTGATTGATTAAATGTTGAAAATAAAATGAAATCTAAAGACAGAAGAAGTGATTTAAATAAGATTTAAATAGAAAATCAGTTTCATACATCATTTAATCTCAAATTATCCATATATTTAGCATAGCAATATCAGTTACTAACAATAATTAGCTATTTTTGATGGCTTATCAAAACTTCTACAAATAGAATATTTTAATTAAAAAACTTTTCTTTTTATTTCTGAATTTGAATCCTTAAAAAAGAAGCATAAGTTAGTTACTGATTCAAATAATTTGAGCAATTTAAAAAGAAAATAATAATAATAAAACGAAAACATTGATTGAAATAATTTGAGTAACTTTAAAAAATACCACTACATTTATTATTTGAAATTTGTTAACATTCTTTCTTCCTCTACCGGATAATCTTGAACCGGTTTTCAGTCTTCTTCCATTAACCATCACTGTAAAATCAATCATCAATAATTCTCATTATTGCACTCTGCCAGTAGAGTTAATACTGAAGTACAGTTGTATTCAGAAAATAGTTTCATTGTATATTATTTCATGAATTTCTGCATGCAGTATCGCAGCATCTCGTATATTCCGGTGATTCTACCGATTATCACATTAGAAAAACGGAAATATTATATTTTAACAAAATCGAACTAACTTATTATGAGAAAAATGCCAGTGATAAATGACTTTAGGATTTCTTATCTTCTAATTATCACTATCTCATGAAAACTTTAGTCTTTAGCCAGTAATGAATCATTTATTTACTCATTGGAAATAGAAAAAACTGCAAAATAAAGTTTATGAATTTTATTTAATATTACTATGCATTGCTTATGATAGAATTCTGTTGTTTCTAAAATTCTGAAATTGTTTCAATATATCCGAAATTGCCAGCAAGTTTTCATTTTATAAAATTAAATTTTCATTATTTTCAAAATTTGAATTCAGTATGAACAATCAACGTTCTAGTTAATTAAATTTTAGCATTAAAAATTTCAAGAATTAAATAATTTTATTTTTTGTTAAAATTAATTTTATTTTGTGTTTTTTTTATTATTAGAATTAATTGATTGATTGTTTTATTTTTATTGAAATTATTTAATAGGCTGAAGCAAAATCAACAAGTACCTCACGTCAAGGTATTTTCACATTAGATATTAACGTAAACAATGCCGTGAATAAGCGATTATTTGAAGCTGACCAATATATGTTTGAGTTGTCAACGTTTTCTCGAACTGCTAAAATTGGCACTATTAAAGTTTGTTTACATTTATTGCACTATTTTTGTTTGTTAAAATACAGAAATATCAATAAATTTCTTCAAAAAAAACGAAATTAGAGCATATGTTATCACTTCGATCATTTACGAGCAATGCGCCATTGTTCGCATATTTTCCGTCAAACACAAAAAAAAAAAAATAAATAAATAAATAAAAAGTGCATTAGGTTTTTCGAAAATATTGCATGGTATAAAGTTCGGTTTTTTTATAATTAATAAAATTTTCAGCTGATTAATGGAATTTCAGCTAGAGATGTTAAATATACAATATATGGAAGCATGGCTAATTAGTAAGTTTTATATGATAAATCAGAAAATAGAAAAAGAAAATGGTATTAATTTAATGATATAATTTATAGTATAATGGTATTAATTAAGATTTTAATTAATTAATTAAGATGGACGGCGGAACAATATTAATTATGATTGGTGTTATTGCAAAGCAGAACTCTAATTAATTAATTAATTAATTAATTAATAGCAGCATTTTCAAAGATAATTAGTTTAATAATTATTAAAGCAACAGATAATCTGAAAAAATTTATAAAAATTAAAAAATAACAGATAATTTTAATAACGGCAGATAATTAGTAAAAATTCGATGCATCAAATTTTGTTCCAATTACATCCATTAATACGCATTTAATATAAAATTTAATTAAAACAATAAAATTGTTAAAAAAAAAAAAAACGATAATATCGGATTTTATTTTTAGTTTTTCATTGGAGCCAAAAGTTGATAATATCATTGAATTGATAAGTTTGGAGTGTCCATCAGAATGTCACAAAATACCGCGACAATTTGCACTTATGATTAGAGCAAAAATTGATAATCGTAAACAACCATATGATATACCACTATCAATTAAATTTACTGCCAATGATGGTGGACAAAGACCACATTTTAAACAAAGTGTAATTTCTCTAAATCTTAAAGAAAAATCATTAATGAATAATCCACTGCTAATGGAAGTTGACAATCCTGATAATGTCAATGTCACTTTTATTCTCAATGATTATAATCGAATTTTTGAAATTAATGAAAAATTTGGTGTTCTTTCAATTCGAGTAAGTGTTTTCTTTGTTTCATTTTTTTCTCTTTTCAAATTGAATTTATATTGATATTTTCAGATTATTAGGCAAAAGAAAAAGTATTAAAAGAAGAAAATTGAGAAAATAAATTTTAATTAATCTCAATTTTATGAGCATATAATAATGAAAATTTAAAAAAGAAACCTTTTCCTTCCTTTTTTTTTATACTTCAAATTATTTAGTTCCAGTTATTCATCGATTCCTATTTATTTATTATTTACAAATTTAACTATGGATAATTCTAGAAATGCAATCGATACTTTTTTTAATCATATCACTCTTTATTATTATTTTTATCATTTAAGGCTTATATCATACGGCAAATTGAATCTGACGATGAAAAATTGAATTTCAGAATAGTGAATTATTAACTGTTGATAATCTTGGTGAACACTTCAATATGTCTTTATCAATTTCAAATGGAAAAAATATTATTGATACAGCAATTATTATGATTACACTTAATCCAATCATTGATCAACAAATTATGGCACCAAAATTTTCACATGTAAGTTTTTTTTTTTTTTGTTCTTGCTTTTTTCTATTCAATAATAAATGTAAATTTTGTTAGTGTAATTTTTGCTTGTTGCAAAATTGTTAAAAATATTTTAAATTTTGAATTGGAATTTATATTAATTTATTATTTAATTATTCAAAATTTAATCAAAAAAAAAAAAACTTTCGTAAATTTGTTTCTTTTAGAATATTTATGCATTTGCGGCAAAACCTGGCGAATCTTTTGTTGGTCAAGTGTTAGCGCAAAGTTCAGATAGCGATATAACATATCGCATTGCTGAAGGTGGCGCAACATTATTTCAAATTAATTCAACTGATGGACGGATTTTCTATTATGGTTCACTTAGCAAAGACCCACGTAATTATGAATTAAAGGTTACTAACTAAAAATTATGGTACCAAAATTACTAATTTAAATTGCTTCTCTCTTTTTCGATTTCCTTTTTTTTATTGCAAAATTTCTAGAAAATAACAAATGTTTCAAAAGTTGCTAATTAAATAATTAAATTTTAATAATTTCAGGTTGTAGCAATTGATGAAAGCTCACCACCATATATTGATGTAGCACTTGTTCAGGTATTGATTGCTGGTTTAGGAAGTTCACCAGCAAAATTCGAAACTAAAGAACCTGTTTTAGTTGCAATTAATAAAAGTAATTTTAAATTGTCAAGATATTTTATTATCTATTTCATTCTATCATCCTTCAACAATTACTTGTGTTTTCGGAAGTGTTAAATTTAAATTGCTTTATTTTGATCGTTTAATTTTGCAGAATTTTTCTAGAAAAGAATTGAGCTAAGTATTTTTTTATTTTTGCATATCATTTAATTCTTATAATGAAATTTCAGTGAAATAAGTTTTTATTATAAAAATATTAAGGCAGTTTTTGTTTCGTTTTTTTTTTTTTTCTGTTTTTTGTTTTTTAGCAAGTGGCGCCGGAACAATGCTTCATCAATTTACTGCAATAGACGCTGATCCGAATGCAAAAGTGATGTATTCAATTAATTCACTGAAAGCTTACGATGATCTTGGTAATGTCATTCCGGATTCATCCCAACTGTTTGAGCATTTCCGTTTTCGTAAAAATGGTCTCAACGATGGGACACTACAACTTACAAAAAGCTTCAAAAACACTTCCATTATGGCATTTTTGGCAAATATTAGCGCTACTGATATAAGCCACCCGGATGAACCGGATGATAAAGGTTATTTTATATTTATTTCTTTTTTAAGTAGTATTCAATAAGTTTAGACTTTTTTTTGGTTTAATTCATGGGAATGATTATTAAAGCTATTCCTGCCATTAATTGAAACGACAGAATAAAATTCTAATTTCTTAGCGAGTAAATATCGAATTAATAAATTACAGAAGATAAAATAAAGGTTGATAAGGAATAATTAATCATTTCAAATTTTAATAATTTTATTATGAACAATCATTTGGAATAAAACGACTATTGTATTATTTTCTGAAATGAAATCTCAAACATTTTCTTTTTTTAGCAGAATTAATAGTTCAATTGATAGTACCGGAAGAGCAAATATCAGATGCGGATCTTATAAAATTTGATCAATCACGATCAGTTATTGAAATACCGGAAAGCACAATTCCTGGCACCTATATTTATACCGTAAATGTAAAACCGCTTCCAGCTAATTTAGCCAGAAATCATCGTATTGTATATTCAGTATCGAAAGGACATCGTGCTTTTGTCGTAAATCCAATAACAGGTCATTTCATTTCAATATATATGTTTACAATTATTAAAATGACTATTGACAAATAAGTCTAGAAAATCTCATTCACTTTTACACAAATTTAAATAGCAAATTAATATGCTAGCATATAGCTGTGCATATTTCAAGAGAAACAATACTTTAAGTTAAATTAGAAAAAAGAAAAGTTACAGAAGAAAAGTTAAATATAATAAATATTACAAAAAAAAAAGAAGAATTAGTGAAATTTATGAAAATTTTATGTTTAAACAATGATGTTATAAAACTAAGCAAACGATTAATACGACATCTCAAATATATATTATATTTATTGGATGATTCATTACAGGTGTCATAACAACAGCAGCAAAGTTACGTACTGGAATTGATTATAATCTTACCATTACCGCCACTAATCAAAATACACAAATGACAAGTTCAACATCAATTTTAATCAAAGTTATACCAACAATAAAGCAACGTATTCCAATATTCCCAAATGAATCCTATATTTTTAATATTACCGAAAATGCTCCAAGCGGTCAAATTTTTTATTTGTTTATTTTTATAATATTTTCATTTTATTTTATTTTTTAAAAATTTTTCTGATTTAGAAATTTTTCCTAAGTAAGGCTTGTAGGTAATATACCAGTAAACAATAGTGGGATATCCTAGAGAACGTTTGATGATCATATGTAATGATAATAAACAATATTGCAATGAATTATTGAAGATTGCTTAATTTGTAATGAAAATAAAGTCTAAAAGTTATAAGTAAATTTTATTTATTTATTTTAATTAATATAATTTTTCCTTAAAATTTTCATTTATTTTGCATGATTTTCATCAAATAGAGTGCTACAAAAAAATAAATAAATATTTGTTATATATCAAAATGTAATAAATTTACAGGAACCATTGTGGGTACTTTAATTAAATCAACAAATACTACAACCAGAATTAAGTATACAATTGCTGGGAATGAAAAAAATTATTTTAAAATTGATAAGAAGGTTATTCGCTTTAAAATCATTATTATTAGTAGGCAATTTATTTTTATTCGTTAATCTAAACAAAGCCAAATTTTTGAATATAATTTAAAAATAAATTATATATGAATTAATAACACTATAAAATTAAAATATTGTAAATATCCAATACAGCGTAATAATGTTATAAAAATTATTGCAGTATATTTTAAAAATAATAAGATTTTAAATATTATTAAATGATTAATGAAATTTTTTTTTTTTCATTTTACAGGGTACAATTCGTACACTTACGCCATTTGATTATGAGAAAAAACCCATATTTCACTTTTTCATAAATGCATATTGTGATAATGGGCCATTTACGTCATTTACGTCATTACCGGTAATACAATTCCTTCACTTAAAAAAAAAAAAAACATTTTTATGATTTCTGATAATTCACAATAAATGTAACAAAAAAATGTGGTAGAAAGAAGACGAAAAATTATACATAAGTGAAATCAGAATTGAAAATTGAAAATTGTAATTTGATGAATTAAGTTATTAAACTAATATTAAATAAATTAATAAGTAAAATAAATTTGCAATAAAACATTGTGTTTAGATACATAAGTATGAAACGATGATTTTTTCTTCATTAACAGATAACGGTTAATGTGTTAGATGAAAATGATGTTAAGCCTCGATTTCTGGAACGATCATTTGCTGCAACAGTGATGGAAAATAGTCCAATAAATACATTTATAATTAATGCTGTGGTATGTAATAACTAAATTTAATTAATTCAACGAATAAAAAAAAAAAAAAAAACTATTTAAATTACAATAAAAAAAATTAAGCAAAGATAGCTATTAGAAACTAAATTAATTTGAACTGATTTTTTTTTTCTCCCAGCAAAATTCAAACTTCAATTTAAGCTTTTCACCATCAAAAGAAAAAAAAAAATCATTCATAGGCAATTGATAGTGATTCAAATGTGGAATATTCACTAATGATGAATAGTGAATCATCAGCTTTATCATCTTTGCTTCACGTTGATGGAGATGGTACCATTCGTAATGTGGAACCATTACTGGGATTAGAAGGAAGGTATCAATTTGCAATCATTGCCCGAGATGACCGACATACCGGTGCATCTGCTACCATTTTTCTCACTATCTTGCCAACCTCAAAATGTCAACCAACTTTTTTAGAAAATGTTCCAAATGTCGTTTATGTTAATGAGGTAAATTTGCATTTTTGCTAAACTATTTCTTTTTACTTTGCGCAAAAAATTCTACTGATTAATTTATTTGCAAAAATTTAATGAAAATTTGAAATTTTTAAAATGACTAATATGTTTTTACGAATTACACAAGCAATAATATTTTGTCCGAATCAGAAAAATTGAAATTATTATTACAAAACTTGAAATTATTATTGAAAGAAAAATGAATAATTTTTTAATAAGTAATATTGCAAATGTGAAGAAAATGTCACTTGGAAAATTTTCCAAAAAAAAAAAAAAAACCTTTTTAATCTTGTTCTCAATTCTTTTTCAAATATAATAATTATTTGGACTAATTTTCAGAGCTGCTTATTAATTGTTGAAAAAAAATTGCAGAATGAATTTCCGGGTTCAACACTAGCAAAATTCGAGGGTACAGTGTCAAGTAAAGATTGTCCGGTAACTTATGCAATATGGAATGGCATGAAATATGTTGGTGAAACGGAATTATTCACAATTGATTCATTAACCGGTGAATTAAAAGCTAAAGAAATGTTTGATTGCGAGGAGAACGATCGTCATGCTGTAAGTTCTGGACTGTTGAAAATACGGATTGCAAAGCTAAATTTTGAAATGTAGTGAAATTTGCTAATATTGGAAATTTCAGAAAGTGTGACTGATATTTTATATAAAGTTTATTCCATTATATATTATTATTATTATTATTATTATGTTATCATTAGCATTAATTCTATACCATTCTTTTTAATTAAGTTCAATTTATTTATGCTAATTTACTGAACTATGAATATCTAACTAAATTGATAATTCCTTATGCATTTTAAAATTGATAAGAATTTTAAATTAAAATTTATCAAATTTGATGTTACTTATTTTTATAGCTTGTTGTTGCTGCATTCAGCGGTGATTTGTTTGCTGAATTAGACGTTGAAATTCGTATTATTGATCAAAATGATAATTCAATAGAAATTATTGATAACAATGTGCTCTTCAGTATACGTGAAGACGAAAATGTTGGTATGTTATGTTGTTCTTCAAATTATGTTTCATATGTTATACGATTATGAACATTTCGGATTATGATAATAATTATGATGTTGATGATGATGATAACGGTGATGATAATGATTGATGTTAGTGGTGGTAGTTAATTATGATGATGATAATGGTTGATGATTGATTACGCAGACAGTGACGATGATGATGATGATGATGGTGATAGGTGTTGATGATGGTGATGATTAGGTGATGTAATCCTGATTAATAATTTGTCACTTGCGTGTGCAATCTCAGACTTTGTAGACGATATACTTATAGCAAATTAATTTGCTTTATTAAAACATGCTGTTTATATTATTAAAATTAGCATAAGTTTCGATAATTTAAAAAATTGGGCAATTTTGAATTGTTATTCCAAATGAAATAACATAATTAAAGTGATATTGTTGTCCTTTATAAGCACGTATGTCACGTACCTTTCCCTTTATGTTTTTAAATGTAAAATGATTGGTTAAAATTGCTGCACAATTTTGTACAGCAATTGGTTATCCAAAGTAATATGATGATCACTTAGTATAATAAAAATCCCATTTATTTATATATAATTTTAGGCCTTTTAATAACCAAAATCCGAGCATTTGATCGAGATATCAATGATAAGGTTTATTTTCACATGAAAGATGACAATAAAAAGTTTACAATTGGCCATATGGATGGTATTTTGAAATTAGCAAATGAATTAGATCGAGAAGAGCAAGATTTCTATGAGTAAGTACACTCTTTTCATTAAATCAGTGTGTTTTTGATACTAATTTTAGGAAGTTTTTTTTTCAGGATGAATTAATGATATTGTATATGTTTTCTGTCTAAGTTTCAAGCTTGACATTATCTTTGAGAGCTCTTTTAATTTTAGGCTTCACATAATGGTAACTAATTCGGAGGGATTACCAGATAACGAGAATGATGCTGCGTTTGCTACTGTTCGAATTATGATATTAGATGTGTAAGTTTTTAACTGATTTCAAATATTCGATCTATTAAAAAAAAAAGTGAAATGCGAAAATTGAATTTATTTTGTGAAGAAGGAGAAGACAGACGTTGAGAACGATGAAAAGCAAATGGAATTATTATTTTGAAAAGAAGAAATAAAACGAATTCTGAAAATATTTACAGGTTGAATTTAAAGCACTAATTAATTTTTTGTTTTAGAAACGACAATGGACCAGTATTTGAAAGCAATATATATACAAAAGCAATTCCACGTGATGCAATAGCAGGGATGGAAATTGTTAAAGTTTTAGCAATGGATCCGGATTTGATCAATGCTTCTTCACCGAGTATCATTTATATCATTACCATCTAATATTTGTGATAGTATAATTGTCTGTCAAGTAACTTTCATTTCTCAATTTATGTTCTTTTTTATTTATTTTTGTGCATTGATTAATAACTAATAATAATAATAAGTAAATAATAATTAATAATAATAATCAATAATAATGATCAACATTAATGGTAATAATAACAATAATAATTAATTTCTGAAATATCCTTCTGCAGAACGTTAATTAGTCTATGCTATATTGTCATTCAAAAATGTCACATCGCTAAAAGATTATTTCATATGACGACTTTTTGATATTCCATATCATGACCCTTTTACGCAAAGTTTAATTTTCATTTTTCAATATTGTAAAATTTTATGCTCCAATTTTATGTCGTAACTTTTTCCGTATAAGGGGGAAATTTTTTTGACTACGTATTTATGATATGAATCATTCATGTTCTGAAATAATTTTGTATGTATCAAATTTTCTACTATTCATTCAGATTCTGATTCGGTACGCTACCGGATCGATGAAACAATTTATCGATATGCTGATCGAGTTAGACAAGTAAATGGTTTTGTTAATGTGGATGAGAAATCCGGAATTATACGACTGGTGCAATCGCCATACGATTCAGCTGGTGGTATATTTGAATCACGTATTGCTAGCACCGATCTTTCTGATATAATTTCTCATGTTGCTACCACCAAATTGAAAGTATATTTTAATAATTTCTTTTTGACTTTTTGAATTCCCGGCATAAATGAGTGATATTTTTTAAATTTTACGCTTATGATCAAAAATTTTTTCCATAAAATTAGTAATCGAGTATAAATATTATATTCTTAGTGAGGAGAGAAAAGACGGAATATTCATTCAGTTTAATAATTACTTTGTAACAATTATTTTTCAGGAGGTACTATTGAATTAAAACATACTTGAATAATGTCATTAATTAAATCAATCAGTTTAGTTTTTTAATGCTGTTTAAAGATGGAATTTATCGTTTAAAATGTAATATGACTATACAGTATTGCTTTTGTTTCGGTATGGGTATACGATGTGTCACATATCATACAAATGGATATCGATCAAAGTGCTAAAAATTTAAATGTTAATGAACTAAAAAATTTGACTGAGTTAGTTTAATATTTTTAATTTATAAATTAATAACTTTATTTTGAACGATACAAATTTTAATTTAATCCGATGAAAAAATGGCACGAATTTTAATTTAATATAATAAATTTAGGATTATTGGTGAATTATGTGAATGTGATGTGTTATTATTTAATGTAAAATATATAAGTTCTGACGGACGTTTATTACGAGAAGCAGTACGAGCGCAATTTCTATTCATCAATCGAACTAATGATGCGCTCCTTTTAGCTGATCAAGCCATTTCAATTATCGATAAAAATGCGCTAAATCCAAAAGGTGTAGTACCAAAATTAAGTGCGCTTTCAAAAGTAAGCTTTAAATTTTCTGACTCTGTTCATAGGAAAAAAAATTTTTTTAAATGTTTTTGGAAATTCTTTTTTTTTTTTTAAAAAAGAAAAAAAAAAGAAAAAAAAATCAAACTAAAGATTTCTTTACCTTTCATTTCTTATCATTATTTCCATTAATTTTAATAAAATTTCTTTCAAGTATACAACTGATGTGACAAAATTATCGGACACAGTACCATACGCACGTCTCCGTGAAGCAGCCCTCCTCTTAGCCATTTTCACGTTTTTACTTTTTTCTGTGCTAATTGTATTCGCTATGATTCTTTGCTATCATCGTTCAAAGTGAGCTTTTTTTCTAATTTCAATTGCTACAAAGATTTTATAAATTTTGAAAAAAAAAAAATAAATGCTTTTTATAAAGAAAAAAAAAGTCATATTGTCTTGGAGGTATTGGTGAATTTATTTCTACAAGAGCTGTTTCTCCGAAGTATTGATAACTTGCTCTTGAAAGTGTTTGATCATACTACTTCTTATTTTTGATTTTATTCCGGAAACTAATCATTTCCGGAAATAGTTAAGAATAAAGAACTAATATCTGCTACTATAGTAATGCCGTAAATTTACTTTAACCAATTTTTTATGTTTTTACTAAAACAATGCTGAGAATACCTTAACATCTTTATCATTTAAACTTTGAACTGACAATTTTCTAGTTATTGTAATCACTTATTATCAATCAGGCTAATAATCAATGATTGGTACCACTAGTGTACTATCTTCTATCGCAGCATGCTGTGATTTTGATACATTTTCTTCCCAACTTAAACTTTTTTCCGGTTCTATTTTCTTATCATAGCAATCTGATTGAATTACTTACTGTTCGATAATCATTTGCTAAAATTTTAATGTCAATCAGAAAACAATAATTTTGCTTAATTATCACTTTTTGGCGGTGCTAACTCTCTCTCTTTTTATGCTGTAATTTACTTTTAATTTCAATTTACACATTTACCCACTTCAACTTACTGTTATACTTTATTTTCCGATAATCTGATTATTATTCGTCTTGATTTTATTTAATTGGATGATTAATATTTATTTACTTCATATTGAAATATAGTAGTTATTGCAGATTCTTACGTGAAAAGAAAATGCATGAAGATGAGAAGATAGCAGCAGGATCAATGAATAAAATTAATCGTTATAAGCAACCATTAGCGTACGTGAAATCAGTTCAACATAATCTAAGGTTAAACATTGTTAAATTTTGATTTAATTAGCTTTAGGAAAAAAACAAAAACAAAAAAAGATAAATGTCTTTTCAAAAAAGATAAATCTTAAAGAGTAAATTTCAAAAAATCACTTAACTTTCAAACACTAAAAATTCTATAGTCTTCTCTTTGAAAATTGTGAATTGAAATTTTAATAAAATTACAAAGAAAAAAGAACAAAATTATTTAGTTTCATACAATAATAATAATAATGGTTATTTTAAATAAAAATAATTGATGACAGTTACTATCTTGTGACATCTTTTCTTTGAGAAAAAAATTTCAAATACATTTTATGTCTTGCTAAATTTTCATTTCAATCTTCTAATTAAAATTATGCATCTCCTACTCTTTTTAAGAGAAAAATATCCGAATGCAACAGATGAGAATATCTATACCACTCAGGAAATCAAAATGTTGGTCGGTTTGGATGATACAATGAAACGGGTACGCTATGCTAGTAATGATTAAGCAGGAAAGAAAAAAATTAATTTAAAAAATGCAAAAAGAATTGTCATAAGATTTACACTGCATAGTTTGCATGAATCAATTACTGATAAATTGATAAATTTTCAAGAAAAAATTGTAGAACCTAAACTCAAATCATATAGATAATACTAAAGACATCAGGAAAAAGAGCACATCGAAAGCCATGTAGATTAATTGTGATATTTATACTTTATCATTGCCATCAGTACGATTTGATGAGATTTATCATATAATGAATTTGAATGCTATCTCAAAAGAAAAACATTTTGTTTTGATCAAGAAATGAATTGCAGTCTCTTTTTTCTCTTCTTCACTTATTCTCAATTCCAGTAACTAATCATTTTGATGAAAAGATTTGAAATATGATTAAACAATTTCAGTGACTTATGTTGAATTGTGCCATTTTAATGTATATCTTACATGACCATATCATGTGAGATATATTTCCATAACAATAACATCAAAGAAGAAATCAAGATATTACCGACCTGTTATCAGTACCATACTTCAAGAAGAGATATTAAGTTTTGCCACCGAAATCTTCATTAATAATAAAGAAATGAATTTATTTCTTCCATTATTTTCCAAAGCTACAACATTTCAAGGCAAAATAAGCACAAAATCAATAATATACACAACTTATATTTTTATTGTGGATAATATAGCAATTACACATATTTTTTCTCTTTCTCAAAGTAATTGGAAAGATAAAATTTAATTCGTCCAAAATTGAGCAACTTTTCCGATAAATGTATGAAACAAGGACTTTTGAACGAAATTCTTCCCAGAAATTCCCATAAAATACTTGATATATAAAAGCATATCACCAAAATATTTAAAGCATTTCAAAATGTAATAAAATAAAAAGGAAAAACATAATGGATGGACAAAATATACATATATAATAATGCAATAACATTTAAGAATAACTTACTATCCCTTACATTTAGTAAGTACATGCTTATGAACGAAATGATGACAAACAATCATCAATAGTAAATTTTAATGCTGTCAAATAGTTTTCCGTAACATTTTGGACAGCTTTATTCATTTCCGAACTGTCCGGTGCAATTTTTTGGATTGAAACTCTCCACTGCGGTAGAACTGACTTGTCAATTAGAATTATTAGCTTCTCCATTTGTCTACCATAAACTTTATACATCACATTCCAATGCTGCTAAAAATTTTAATTGCTAAATCAAGACGGGAGGAGTTACAAACTACACTTCAAAAGTTTTTAAAATTCATTCACCTAATACTGAAATTAATTAGATTGAATACGCATTTTGAGAACAAAAACTTCTTTTCACATTTCAGTACAATGCTCCTTATTTTCAAAGAGATTTAACAAATTTCTTTTATTTATTTTTCAGTTTTTTAATGGATAAAATAAGAAGCAGTATTCTCACTAAATAATAATTATAGGCTACAAATTATAATTTACGAGAGATTCAATTTCTCTTGAAAATTAGGAATGTATCATTAATAAAATAGAATTAAATAACACCTTTAAAATCTCTGTTACTAGTATAGCACCGAAGGCAGAACTATCCGCAATTGTTATAGCGATCATTTTCCACATTAATCCTAAGCCATTACTTTCTGGTGTTGCTTGGAGATCAACACTTATATTGGACATCTTCAAAGCAATAAATAAATTTATAATAGCAATTTCACGACAATGCCATGCTACTATCGTTTCGGCAAATCTTTCGGAACGCTTTTTTAGATCCAGAATGCACTTTAAGCTGAAAAATAAGGACTGTTAACATAACAGAAAAGATAATTAAGAAGATGCAAGGTAACAATACAAAGTGACAGTAGGAATTAGTTTAACTTATTCAATATATACTTCAATATGCACCGCCATGAAGAACATACATCTAATATACAAAATATATTGACAATAATGTGCAGTTTATTTTATATCAACTTGTAATATGGTACATCTAGCCTATTCTATTTACACAAATATTTATTATGACTTCTCAAGCAATTGCAGATTCCACAAGAAAAGTGCAGAATGATAACCATTCATTATGATTGACTGCCAAAAGCGGCGATGCAATAAACAATTTGCCATAGAGTAATTTCGAGAAAGCAATTGATGATAAAGTTAGCGATGACAGAACAGCAGCCACTACTTTCAACAGACTTATATCCTGTGGAATAAGATCCTGGAAATACAATATAAGAGAGGTATGAAACGGAATCAAAAGTGGTTAAGACTAACAAAAAAATAAATTTATAACTTTCCGAATAGTATTCAGCAAATAAAAACCGTCACAATCCAATTATTTCAAAATTCTTTATAAATTTAATGCTAATTTAGCAGTCAAAATCAAGTCTGTTTTATAACAAGGTGAGAGGTGTTTAATTAAAAAGAGATTATTTAAAATGCAATTTTTGAAAAACTGCAAGGAAAGTGGATTCAGATATGCTTTTCAAGATCGATTAATATTGGTTGAAAATTTAACAAAAAAAAAAAAAAAAAAAAAAAAAAAAATGAAAATAGTAATAAACCACTGAATTACCAGATACGTGTCAATGATATGAACCATAGCCCAATCACGAGCCAACCCGTCATCCTTTAAGTTGATTATTTTGCCATTAAAACCATAAACTGTTAAACCATTAAGCAAATTATTAAAGAAACGAACAATTTGAGCAATGTCATTTCGTTTTGCAAATTTCTTTGTTGATATCGAAATCTTTTCCTTTATCGTACATTTCAATTCATTCTATAAAAAGTCTTATATAAAAGTGTCAGATATTTGCAGTACCAGATACACTATATATATTCATATCTTCATATATATCCTTTATTCTAATTTACATGTATGTATTATATGCATTATTTTAATTTATGTGTGTTCTTTCTTGATAAATTTTCATATCTCAGTACCGAAAGGGTCTATTATATAGCAACTCCACGAATTATCATAGTGAAGCGATAGCCAACGGTGAACATCACATTGCTAATATTTGCAATATTCAACTCAGATTTCAGACTACTTCACAGCAATAGTCAATGTACTCAACTTTGAAACTTACAAAAATTAATTTTCCTTGTTCACATATGATCGAATAATACACTAAAATTATATTTTAAAGGTGATTCACTTGTTTAATATCTAATATCCGTTGAAGACTATGAATAAAGAGAGATGTCGTAACTGCGTACAGTGTCTTTAAAATCTTTAACCAAAAAAACAACTTACTTTGACAGAATCTGGTACATCAGCTAGATTTGCCATGAAAGCCCTTGCGAAAGCTATCTCATATCCGTAAATTTGATGAGAGTGATTCGGACTTTTAGTATTTGAGTCATCAGAAGTTCCGCTGCTTACAGTTAGAGATTTTACCTTTGACAAAGACTGCGTTATTGATTCATTTTGTTTAGCCGCAACAATAGTACTTGCTTCGTTTGACTGAGCTGAACAGAACAGGATCAAGTCATTCCAAAATTCCAAGGTTTCTATGAAGCAATCTTATAGAAAAATTAAAACGAAATCGTGAAAAATACTTTATGACAGTAATTTAAAAAAACTTGAAGCTTCGAAAAAAAACTCACGCTGTTCCTCTACAATCTGTTGCAAGGGCCAAGAAGTACTCCTTGAAGCTGAAGATCTGCATGAAGAGATTGAATCCGTCCTCGTAAGCGTTGCATGGCCATTTTTCAATGTTTCTGATGAGAAGATAGGTGTGCTTGTTTTTTGTGGACAAAAAACAAATGCAGCAGAATTATCAGACTGCTGTTGAATTTTCGGTGTTGCACATGCCGAAGTAACGTATGCAGGAAATGATGAAGTGGTCTTTGGATTTATTCGATTAACAACTGCAGGAATTGCATTGAAAGTTGGTGCTAGATTAGCAACAGTCACTGAAGATGATGTTGAGGACATGTATGATGTTCCTATATCGATAACAGCAGTTGATTTTGAGGAATAGACCAAGGTAGAAGCTTCTGTTGGTAGCCAAGATTTTGACTTGATAGAAGTCGATTCGACTGGTACTGCAGATTTAGACACTGAATGATGTGAGATGAAAGTACTGGAATCTTTTAATGCACCAAGATTGGATTTTGATTCAGGATCATGATTTGCGCTAAAATAAGCAAAACAATAAACAATGAATAAGAAATGTTAAAGTCTCCTGGAAATATGAAACAGCTCATGGCATAAATATATTTAACCTAATTTTAAATTACTCATCCTATATTCCGAAATTAACATTTATTTGTCTTGAAGTTAACTAATTTACACTGCTGTATTCACGACAGTTTTTATTACCTAACTGGGTGGATTAAGAAAACAAAAGTTTCTGAAGATTTACTTTAGTCTTTCCCTGAATGATTCTTCTAGTTCTTTCTTCTGTTGTGAAAGAAATAAATCCAATATTAGTCGTTCCCGAGGCTAAAATGAAATCCGTTAGTTGCTTCTAAAGAAATTTTTGCCTTACTGATTCCATGAATTACAGTTCGTTAAGCATCGACATGCCTTACTGATACTCTATATTATGTCAATAAATGTCATGACTAACAGGAAAATTATGAATCATGATGACTGAAATTTTGATTCTTTTTGCAGCCCTGATCAAAACAATTAACTGTAACGTCGTTACTGCCAGGTTATCTTGCAATTTATTTCCTTGACGAGAAATTGCAAGAAGAGTTATGCACCTTATGCACTTCCCTATGGAAAAATACCTTCTATTGTTCAATTTTTCTGAGCAGAGAGACATCGGAAAAAATGCACAAATATCTATTCCTTAACAACGTTATTAAAGTCGAAAATATACCTTTGGCTGAAACTTCGCCATATGTTGTTTTAGCTTTTCATCAAAATCATGCGAAACTCTTTCACGTATTGCTTGACGTAACTCTCTCCGTTCTTCTAACTTTTCTTCCAGAAATACTCGTTGCTGATGATGTAGTTTTTTAACAAATGGCTTCGCCGACTCATATCTACCACAGAAGATAT